CTGCTGAATCCTTTGGAAGTGGTACGTCCTCGGCTGGGAAACCACCGAAATCTCGTTTTTGCAGGTCTGGCGATGACCATTCCTCTCTGGGCGATGATGGGTCACACTTTTTATTGTCGGACCAGATGGGAGACACTGTAGATCAAGAAGTCCAGTCATCTATGAAGCAATAGGCAGGTGAGCACTGGTCTAACACACTGCCAGAAGATGGGAGGAAGAAAGGTACTGGACCTAGCCGACAGCTGGTTATGGAGGATGATGACCAGAACAGCGAGCAGCATCGCAAGAGGAAATCCAAGGGCTTTGGGGGTACGCAAACTCCAGACCTCAACATACCTCTTGCCGGCTGCACTGCTCTAGTTCCCAGTGGATTGGTGTCCTCTTGGGTGAGTCAAATGGATGGGGGCTCTGGAAATAGTGGAGGGAGTATGATTGAAACCTTGAAGAAGCAAAAGAGAGGCAATATCACACTAAATGCAAGATTAGCGGCGGCTACGAGGGACAGCCCCCGCTGGGCACAATGAAAATCCTATGCTTGAACTGCCGGAGCTTGGGGCAGTCTGAGGCAGTTCGTGATCTTCGTAGCCTGATAGAGCTACATTGCCCCATCTTGGTGTTCTTATCAGAAACAAGGTTTCACTCAGATAGCATGGATGGACTCTGGCGCTCGCTCGGTTTTGCTAATGGGCTCGGCGTTGGGAGCCTTGGCAGGGGGAGGACTAGCTGTCCTCTGGAAAGAGGATTTGGATGTTCGTTTAGAAACGCCGGACAAAATGCATATTGATGTGACAATCTTGGACTCGGTTACAAAGGTGGAGAAATGGAGATTCACGGGATTTTATGGAGAGTCAAAGCATATCAAGATTGACCAACTTCATATAATAATAACATTTATGATGTCAACTAAGTATTACTATGTTTTTCATTAATTATATTATGATAATATATCTATTTGATATCACAAATCTTTATAATTTTTTCTATAACTTTGATCAAACTTGCGATGCTTTAACTCTTCGAGATTTTTGAAATGATTTATAATTTGTGACATAGGGAGTAGCACGCAACTTTCCACTGATCCATGGTTTGACACATTAGAATTCTTACGGTCCTAGTTCGCAAAACGAATCCATGTTTACCCATTAGACGGTGGAGCAACAAACCCTGTTACCAGAAGATGAAGTTACGTTTGTTCTGGGCATGGACTTCTGGTTCTGTTTTTCCACCTTTTTCCGATCAAAGAAACCTGACCTAGATCACGGGTCGAGTCTAACGTTGTTTGGCACCTAAGTACTGCTCCCTCGCAAAAGCCAAAAGGAGATCACGGACTGACCCGACCGGGCCGGTTCGTTTGAACTTATCAGCCGACTTATCAGTTAGAATCTACAGTATTTTTCTCTTGTAATAAAACAACTTCAGCTAAATTATCAGTCGACTTTAATACTAAACGAACATAAATTGTTAGGACACAGGCGCTTAGCTGTTGTTTTCTTAGCCCTGAATCCCTGATAGGTGGACCCTGTAGTGCAGACCCACAGTGATGTCTGTGGTCAGGAGTGGTGGCGCTCTGTTCACTTCATCACTTGTTTATAGGTGGCGAGGTGGCGGGGGAGACTTGCAAGTCAACGTGCACGCTCCGGCTCAAATGAGCAGAGCTTCCACATCTAGGTAGCCCCTCTTCGTCGCCATGCTCACCGATCTGCCGCAGATGGGCAAGGCGACCGCACACCATCGCCACGTTTGTTTGGGATCGTTTGGTTTATAAGTCGTATTTTTTCAATTAACGAATAATATTTTTCTCGCACATCAAATCAGTCAACGGTACTTTTAGTCATGTCTTATGAGCCAATTTTCTCGCACATCAAATCAGTCAACAGTACTTTTAGTCATATCTTATGAGTCAAATAAGTCCAAACAAACAGAACTCATGATGGCCTCAGCTGAGCTCTGCTACTTCCAGCCTTCGACTCGTGCCGGCCGTGGCACTCACTGGCAGGTTTGTCTGGTGTCCCTATCTTCAGCGTTCGTTTCCCTGTGAGAAAGCTAGCTGTCCTTTTTGCTTTCCTTATTTTTTGGGGGCAAATCTAGTTGCCTCTGGTTTCTTCCGAGAAGAGCAACTCAGATTGTTCCAGCAAGACAACGATTCCTTTCAGAGAGGCATCAGGCACAAGCAGGTCCTCTGAAATGGAAAACATGATACTGCTACAGATCTGACATTCTGAGTGCTCGCTAGAAAAGAAAAGCGGATGGATAATCTTCTGAAGACGTCAGTCGTCATCGTCCTCCTCCTCGCGATAAAATAGGCCTTGCGAAAAATGAGACTTGGCCGGGGCGCCGGGCCACTAGGCCAGTTCAGCACGGCAGGCTTAAACACATCAACCTAGAGGTTGAGATGCATGTAAGTCGCCTCTTGCGATATACTCCGGTACTCCCAGGAGTACACATCAGTATTTTTTTTTTGAGTCTGTCTACCTGGCTTTCGGGTGTTTCGTCCAGTTCCAACACATGATTTTCTTTTCGACGGTACATGAAGATCCAACGCCTACAGCTCTTCTTCTACGTCCAGTGCCACTCCAGCTCTGGCCCCCGCTGCCCGGCGAGCGCTCCACCGCCGGTGCGTGGCCCGCCACTCCCTCGGTTACTCTTCGGCACAAATCACAAATCACAAGAAACATTTTTTTTCTATGAAAAGACAAGGACAAAATTTGGAGGAGAGGCTCGCCGGAACCCAAGCCACTGCCGCCGCCGTCTTTGGCTCCGGTCGACACCGATCTAGGAGGAAGAAGAAGAGGAGGAGGAGGAGGAGGAGGGAGCAGGGCGCGACCTGGGGGAGGCGGCAGAGGGAGCAGCGGCCAGCCTGCGGCGGCGGCGGAGGGAGCAGTGGCCGGCGGGGAAGCAACGGCCATGCGGGGTTCCTTCGAGGCGATGGCGGCGGCGGGCGCGTGCTTGTGCGGGTGCGAGCGATGGCCTGGGTGCGGTGCGAGCGATGCAGCTGGGTGGGTGGGCGAGATGCAAGCGACGTAAGATCCAACAGGCAGAATTTTGTGTCACCGGACTCTAAAACACTCGGTCATCCATTAGCATTTCTGTTTTTTTTTGTTTGGTCAGTATTTTTTGGCAGAAGGATATTCGGTCAATATTTTATGTTTTTTTGAGAATTTTTTTTAGAAACTGTTAATTTTTTATGTGTAAAAATGGGACCTGAATGGGCCGGTGGCTTTAGGCCTATCGGGACTACGGAGGGAGGCCCAGGCTCAGCTTAGATGCATGTCACAGGTAGCCCCTTGCGGTCGGTATTATTTCTTTCTAAGGACATTTGGTCCGTATAAAAATGGGACTTGACAGGGCCGGTTCAGCACATCACGCTGCAATGGGACTGTGTCGGAGACCCAGGCTCAGCCTAGATGCATGTTACGTCGCTTCTTCCGTTATAGAATCTTTGAGTGAGTTTGTTCTTTTTCTAGAAGTACTATGTAGAACTGATGGTAAATTAGAGAGTTAATTTGGATCTACATCATTATAAATATTACTTCTCTAAGGTTTGCCACTACTATTCATCATATTGGATCATATCATTATAATTTTTCGTCTACTTGAGATCTCCCATGACGTCCTCGACACCATTGGTCCCATGTATAGGCCATTAAACATACACAATTATTTCATATGACTAAAATGTTGTCGTCTTCTTTCGCCCTTCCTTCCTTCTTCACTCCATTCTCCATGGAGGTACATGACGACCACCCGTCGCTCCTAGCTGACCTCCTTTGAGCTCCAATCACTCGTCGTCAACTCGTTGGCGTGCGGTCACCAACACCCACACCGCCAACAAAACCCTGTCCCAGCCCATCCCGTACCCCCGTCTGTTGTTGCCTCTAGCCCACTGGCGGAGCTACATGCAGGCCAAAGAGGACCATGGCCCCTCCTCGGTCATTGAAAACGCCCTTAAGTAGCTATTAATTTGGTGATTAAAATCAATAACTATGCATATTAAGCCAGAAATTAGTGCTGATGGCCCCCTCTTGTTTTCCCATCAAGCTTCGCCACTGCTCTAGCCCATAGCAGAGCGGGTTGGAGCGTCGCCGCGATCATTATGCCCCATCTTTAATATGATTGACCGCTACTTTGTATATATTGGTGTGACTATATATATGTGTGTGTACTTCTCGTCAAAAGTTGGACTCCAAATTTAAAAACACCGTGTCGCCTTAAAATTTTAGCAAAATTAACTGGAATTAATGGAGATGAGTCTAGAATTACTTACTACTTTGTGCAGATCGGTATGCCTAGATATAAACGTGGGTCCCATGGGTATCATAAAACTTAAAACTAGACATTAAAGAATGATTTACCTCTCAAATAGTTAGTCCACATAAATCCAATAGACACTAGATTTTTCTGAGTTAATGTCCAGTAAATTTTTAATTTTGTTGGATTAAATAATTATAAACATCTTAAATATAAATAGATCATATCTAAGCGCATCCAAAGCAACTAGAGTTGTGCCAAAGTGACGAAGTGTAGCAGAGGCTTCGTTCCATAATCAGGTAGTAATCACTTATGAAAAAAAGTACATTGTCGCTAACTAAAGTGGATTAGATATTGATAAGCTCACGAAAGTCGTTTTATTCCTCAATATAAAAAGTGGATAATAATAAAGAAAAGGAGAAGAAGAAGAAGAGAAGACACGTATTGCCTCTGACTAACTGACCGCCCGCGCCAAAATTTGGATACTATTGAGTTAGGTTGTGTAACCAACTTTGTAGATCACCCCCCCCCAAGCAAGCAACCTCGCGCTCACCACTAAACACGGCCCTCCACCCTCACACCGCCGGCGTTCTCCTGACCTCACAACCCTAAAACACCGTCGCTGTTCCCGATCCTCGAAGCGCCAGGCGCCCCTCGCTCCTCCCCTCCAGATCCTGGTCCTCCTCGGCCGAAAACCCTACTATATGGGGAACGCAATTTCCGCCGCCGCCGTCCCGGCCCTATGCGCCTCGATGAGCGCCGTCGAGCTCACCAACTTGCTGGACCCGCTGCCGGGTGCGAGCACCACGGTAGCCGCTCAAGCCCCGCCACTCCACAGCGGGGTTCGGGACCTGCTGCTCCTGGCTTCGGCGGCGGGGTTTTCCGTCTCTGTGACCTTCATTTACCGCCACGTCCTTCACCAAGATGTCGGCAACCGGCGCCTGCCGGAGATCGTGTCCTTCATGTCATGCGTGTGCGCTGGTGTTCTCCAGTTCTTCCTGTTCGTGCGGGCTCCAGGTGGCGCGGACGTGGATCAAGGCGAGCAAGCCCGCGCGCTTGGTCTGGCTGCTCTCCGTGTCTTGCCCGCTGCGGCCACGGTGACCTTCTTTCTGGGCACCATGCTGATTGTCGCCGCGCACATCCGCGCAGGCGGCGAAGGTGGCGGCGGCGCCGTCGCAGTCGCCGGAGAGGAGCCGATCCAGGCTCCCCTGCGGCTCCTCAGCAGGATGGCTTTGGCCGCTGCGGCAGGATTGGTCTGCCTGATGGCCATAGCCGTCTACGGCGCCTACTAGTAAGTTTTCCTTCCCCAACCATGCCCCCGTCGGCTTCCTCCTTCACCACCGTGCGCTGTGCGCCCACTCGGACAGGTGCTCTCCTGATCTCCTCGACCATGGAGAGCTGAGAGTCCCATTCCTCGATGTGTAGTGTGCACGTGTGTAAGCCGACGAGATGCGACGCCACGTTGCCATCTCCGATCGAGATTCGTACTCCTTCAGCAGCAGCAGACACTCCGTTCTCGCCTCTGTCTATCAGATGCTGGCGTGGCAATTGGCATGCAGCATCTTGATCGGAAACTTGGACTAGGAATTATTCCTTGTTCTGGAGGCCGGGAGCCCAGTCCATCGATCTTGTTAAGCGCAGTGCTGTGCCTGTGTGAGGCGTCTATTATCCGTTGGAGCGCAACCGGGACACCTGCCGCTTGCTTGCTGGCATTGATCATTCACTGCCGTATGCTATTCCACTGCTCCAATCATATATCTTTTCGTTTCCCCTAGAATTTCCATTTGCTCGCGTGCGCTGATTCTGCTAGATAGATAGTGATTAACTCAATCACAAGTGCTCTTTAGTATTACATCTTACTTATAAGATCATCTTTAGTTCTTTACACAGTTAATTATTTCACCTTCGCAATTCTCAGCTAATGGCGTTGATGAAATAATCTGCAAGAAGTGCTGGGTGGCTACCGTCAAGATTGTGGGAATATCCTGGCATTGCCATCTTAAAGGAGATTTTCACTATACTTTGAAATAATGAACATTTGTAATAATTCAGATGATTGTTGCACTGAATACGGTTGTGCTGGTTATCTTATCTGTGATTGTCGAGTCAGGGGTGATACTTCGAACTTGTGTGTGGCTATTATTAATGATTGAAACTTGTCTGTGCTTCTGCCACCATTTATTACTATCAATTAAGGGAATGTGTGTGGTGGATAATATGTTGCAATATTCTTCTGTCCGGTGCATGTACCCCTGTTCGTTTGGGCTGGCTTATAAGCCATGGCTGAAAGTACTGTCGGTGCCACCATTTATTACTATCAAATAATATGCTTATGCAGGTTATGGCTTAGATCATTGCTGATTTTACTAATCTTAGATGCTTGTATTTGGGTTCTGGTATATGCAAGTATCAAAATTTTGTCTTCTGGAATAGACTTTCCCATTTACAGATCTAAACTAGGAGCTTCCAGCAGAATTTTAAGAGTGTCATGAGAAATCTAGAAGGCTATGTATGCAGGTTATGGCTCTCTATATTCAAAGGCTTCAGTTCCTTTTTCCTGTTGTTGTTTCAGTTGACTCTAGTTTGTTGGGTTCCTGTTATAACGTTTATTTTCATTTTGTTATATACTTGTAAGGCAATTTTCCTGGCTTCTGGTCAGGTTGGTCTCTCGTATTATTTCTTGTTTGATCTCAAAGTATTTGAATTATTGCTGATAATATGTTTACTTTTTCTGCTGTGTGCAGATAGCGATTGAGGCAATCTTGATCATATATCACAGCCCAGAAATACAACATGATCCTGTAAGTTTTGCCTTTTCAGACTCGAGCATTGTTTCAGACTTCTCAAGGCATCTTGATCCTCGCCATGATTTATCACTCATGCATATTTTTATACTTCTTATAAGGAGTTAACTTTAGGCACGTGCCGGCAGCCTGCAGCTCTGAAGCAAACATGTTCTGGTCCCATCTGTGGTCGATTCTTGCTATAAACCTTGTGTAGCTCTATCGCAATGCTTTGTGGCTAGTTCTGGTTGATCATCTCTTTATTTGATTAATGGTACTAGTGACATAATGGCACTATCTACAAATAAAGTCGTTGCCTTGTTGGGTTCCTATTAGTTTTTGTTTCCTTTTTCATACTTTTGTATGACTTTGGTTAATGTTCAAACTGGGGTTAATACATCCTCTCTCTAAAATGTTCATGTTGCTGCTGAAAATTTCTCTGATTATTTATTTTTGTTTTGTTTTTATCGTGTGCAGGTATCAAGGCATAACCATACTTCTTCAACGGTTCAACTGCATTTTGATCATATATACACGTTCCGGAAACAATACATAATGCTAAATAAGTTTTGCCTCTAAACCTAACTATTCAGAGTATGACCATGGATGACCAGTTGACCACTAGGCTTCTTTTGGGACATAATGCTATATCTTTGCGTGCTTTAAAACATTGTGGATGTATTTCAATAAGAGCAACTCTAGCAGACTACCCAAACACACTACATATCCCCAATTTAGGTAGTTAGGGCAAAAAAACCAGCTCTAGCAGACTGCTGTCACGTACTGGGCCTAAGGCCGTGCATCGATACTGGGCTACACTAGCCTTTCGACCCATAAATCAGCCTGCGCGCCGCTAGGGTGTATCTACCGGGCTTGGCCCATTTTCCTGTTGAATTAAGACTCGTTGTGTGGGTGGTTGGGCGGACACGAAAATAGAACCAAAACCTGATTTCTCTTCCTCCCGTGCTCGTCTTCCTCGGAGACGGCGACGCCATGCTCACTCGCCGCGCACGTTCGCCGACACCCCCTCTAGTTACGCAGCCGAGACCGTAACATTTGGTACCAAGAGCCTGGCCAATCGATTCGCGGAACTAATTCATAAAATCTCGCAGAGTTCATCGCTCCGCGGTTGGATCTGGTGAGGCGTGCAGAGATTGAGCTCGATTCTACCTCCACCACCCATCCACCACCATTATCATCCACCACCTCCTTCCAAGCCACCGCATCCACTCCATCCATCACCACCAAACCCTAATCCACTGGCGCGTGGACCTACCCTCACTGCTCGCATGACGACGACAGAGGAGAAGCTTGATGGGTTGGCGGCGCAGATGAACTCGATGATGAAGCTCATGGAGACCTTCAATCGTTGGTGCCCCGACATCGACAAGTTCTCCACCGAGCTCAGCCAAAACCTCAAGTCCCTGATGTCGCGTGTTGAGGCATTAGAAGCGGCTCCACCATCCGCTCTGTCACAGGCCCCGCCACAGCGTGGACTTGCTGTTGACTGGAACGGACGCAGGCAGGTAAGTGACCGGACGTAGGGTTTGCAGAGTCCGATCAACAGCAGAGAAGGTCCAGAGAGGATAATTCTTGACCGGACGTGTCAGGTGGATGCTGACAGGATGCTGACCAACGTCAGGTCACTCTAACGGTCAAGTCTGACAGCTGACATGTTTGTGGTCGTTGGCCACTGACTGGCGTGTCCGGTCACCTTGACCTGCGCGTTCGGTCACCTCATGTTTTGCTGAGTTGGACAGTAACGGTCATGTTTTGAATGGGGGAGTATAAATACTTCTCCTACTCGTCTAACTTAGCTCTCTTGCCCAATTGTTTAGCTGAGAAACACCTTTAAAGTGTAAGGGAGAGAAAGAGCCTAGTGGGGTGATTGAGATTTAAGAATCCAAAATTAAGGACCTCATTAGTGCATAGGAAGTAGCAAGTGTGCATCCACTTTTCTCATCCAAAATTAAGGACCTCATTAGTGCATAGGAAGTAGCAAGTGTGCATCCACTTTTCTCATTAGGCTTGTCTTGGTCAAGTGAGAGTTCGTGCTTGTTACTCTTGGTGATCGCCATCACTTAGATGGCTCGGTGGTGATTGGAAGTTTGGTGATCATCTGGCGGAGCCTATGGATGACCCAAGTCATGGTGTCATTGTGAGTGATTCACCGTGATGGAGTGTTGAAGAATCAGCCCATAGAGAGCACTTAATCCTTACGCGGATCAAGGGGGAGTTACACCCTTGCGCGGGTGCTCCAACAAGGACTAGTGGGGAGTGGCGACTCTCCGATACCTCGGAAAAACATCGCCGCGTTCCTCTCCTTCTCTTTACCTTGAGCATTTACATTTGAGCAATTCAATTCATGTCTTTACATTCTTAGAATTGTCATGCTAGAGTAGGATTGGAACCTAGTGTGCAAAACTTTTGTGCGGTAGAACAATAGAAACACTTCTAGGCACAAGAGGGTGAAATGGGCTAAGTGTAGAGCTTAATTATTGCATGAAATTTAGAATTCACCTAATTCACCCCCCTCATGGGCATCTTTATCCTTTCAATTGGTATCGGAGCCTCATGCTCCTTAAATTAGGCTTAACCGCCTAAAGCAAGATGTCCCACGGGCATGGACCCCCTCCCGTCTTTGAGGAAGATGATTTTCCTTATTAGAAAATTCACATGGAGACGTACCTAGAGGCTTTAGATGTTGGAGTGCTTAGAGCCGCCTCACAAGGCTTTTCAAAACCTAAGGATCCCGCCAACCTTCAAGATGATGAGGTTCACTACGAGAAGTGGAATGCAAAGGCTATAAACACCCTTTTTAGAGGCCTTTGCAAGGATGTCTTTAACCGTGTGCGGAACCATAAAGACGTCCATTCACTATGGTCGGACATTTGTGCGTTCCATGAGGGAACCAAGAGTGAGCGTGAGGAATGCTATCACCTTGTGATGAAGAAGCTTAATTCATTTGAAATGCTTCCTAGTGAAAGCGCTAATGAAATGTATTCACGCTTGAATATTCTTGTAGAGGAGGTCAATGGGCTTGGACTCACTCAAATGCAACCATCCGATGTTGTGAGAAAGATCTTGAGTGTCCTCCTCATTGACAAGTATGGGCATATTATGACGGTGCTTCATTAAGGTGATCTTTCCACCGCTACGCCAACTCAAATATTGGGAAAGATCAATGCACATGAGATGTACATGCACATCACTCCACAAGATGGCTCTTCTTCCACCAAGAAGAAAGATTTGGCATTCAAGGCTAGCCAAGAGAAGAGGGGCAAAGCAAAAGTTGATCATGATAGCTCAAATGATGATGAGATTGATGATGCAAGCCCTGCTCTCATGGTGAGAAGAACCGCCAAGATGCTCAAGAAGCTAAACAAGAATAGTGTCAAGTTTGATGGCAAGAAGAAGAAATTCTTCACTAGTAGTAGAAGGAAGCCCATCTCCGAAATGGATTGATACAATTGTGGAGATCTTGGTCATCTAGCTCACCAATGCCCCAA